CCTCGGACAGCACGTGCTGCTCGCAGCACCTGGCCTGAACGCAGCCGGTCACCCGGCTGGGCGAGTCTGACGCGAAAGCTTTATGCACTAGGGCTCCAGCAGCTCTACAGGGATTCTCCTACAGTCGCAGAGTGTTTTAGGCTGGAAGGCACCTCAGGTTAACCTGGTCCAGGTGCCCACTGAAACCAGGCTCTGCAGCAGAGAATATCAGTCGCCGCTCAAAACCAAAGACAGCTAAGAGCAGGGGTTTGGAATGGAGCTGTGCACAGCCATGACCACAACCTCTTTCAAGAAAGCACCTGAATTTGCAGACAGATTGTGCTGGGAGGTTCCCGGCTGCCTTGGGAGAACAGATGCTCCTGTCACGCCCGAGGCCAAAAATCAGGAAGGAAGCAAGCACTACCTGTGCTCCACATAGAGCAGCGGCCTGCTGTCAGCGATTATCCCGCCCTGAGTTTGTCGTGACAGCCCGTTGGTATCCTCAATCTTCTCCAGCAAGCTGTCGATGTCTTCCAGGTCGTTGTCTTCCTTAAGAGAGGCACAGGTAAAGACAAAGCAGTTATTATAAGACAAGTCACCGTGGGTGATCACACTCACAGCAGAGATCGCACTCAACTGCCTCCAGGTCCTTCAGCTCGTCCCCACCTCCACGTAATATCGGCACAATCCTTATCACTCACCTTCCTCCGACCCCGTCGCCCGCCTGATCCCCCCCCCGAGTCTGCCTTCCTTGCCCCATGACCCCCCAAAGGGCTGCCTGCTCTCCCGGCCAGCTCAGGGTACCACAGGGTTCTTGCTCTTCACGTTGTCACGAGCCTAAATGTGGCAGCTGGATGTGTCCAGCATGGGCAGGAGCTCTGCCCCTTTCCACCCAGCCTTCGCTGTGCTTCACCTGCTTTATTCCTTCCACAACCCTTGTAATGCCATGACACATCTGGGGGCTGATTTTAATTATTAATATTTAAATCATACCATCTTTTTCCCATAGAAACACTAAGCTACTGCTGCGTAACAAGGTATCAAACACTTGTGTGATTTTAACCCAGCTCTTAATGTGCTGCACTCTCACTTTCCCCATCTCCTAACAACCCAAGTATAACCAGCAGTGCGCATTCAACAGTTGTGCAACACTTTGACCCCAATTTCCCTCTAATTTCCCCCCACAAATAGCAAGTGACGCATTTCTCGTGCGGCCGTTACGCATCCTCCTCACGATGTATGCGGGTGGAACGCGGGATTCCACTCATGACACCCAAACAGCACCCGAGCCTGCTTCTTCCAGTTAAATATAGACGCTCCTCGCAGCACAGATACAGAAAAAGTTTGAAACGTGCTTTGCATTTAAGCGCCTGAACAAAAGCAGCATTATGACTCCTCAGCAAACCGAACTGCCTGGTTCTGGGAAGGCTCCCCAGAGCCTACAGCTGGTGGGTGTCACCCTACTGCTCGTTATTGCCGAACTGGGAGAGGAAAGGGGCTGGCTGACGGGGTTTTCTGCTTTCAGAACTCGCGCTTAGCTCTCCCAGCTCAATTCTGTGGCTCGGGGTGCTTAGCAAAGGATCTCCCCCAAGTGAACAGGCTGTTAAACCTTAGCAGAAAACTAGTTCCCACTTGAACTTTACTTCTCTTGACGTTAAAAGGCCAATCCGTTCAGTCTCCCAGCCCGAGCTCGAGTAGGTAACGTATTTTCAAGTGCACACAGTCACCTCTCCTACTTTCATCCACATCTGTCAGTTCCATCCCACAGCTGGGAGGAAGCAGGCCAGGAAAAATGTAACGAAAACACAAAAACCCCCTGCACGGTGCCGTCCCCTCTGCCCATGTAAAGCCCTGGAGCAGAGAAAGCAGCTGCTGCGGCTGAGGATTTCAGCTCTGAGCATCTCTGCAACAGAGCTGTGCCAGCCCCAGCTGCCTGAAGGACCACTGCCAAAAGCTGCCGTTGCCATTTCATGATTCTGAACGAGCACAATGCAAAAAGCTGAGTTTTGCCCTCAAAACCTTTTCGGCAACCACTTCAGAGTTGCCGCTTGGTCAATCGCAATGAAGAAATCGGCCCAGTCAGTAACTCCCAGACATACCTGAGTCTCCCCTGCTGAAGTTTTCTTGGTTTTCCTTTTCTTTTTTTTCTTTCGTGGCTTGTTACCCAACACAGGCTGCAAAGAGAAACGGAATGGCCGTCAGAGCACGCCCACGGACTGCAGGGATGAGAGCTCCACGTGGAGAAGAGCTTCTCCCATGGGGATCACCATGCCAGGAGGGCCCTGAAATGAAACCCACAGTTGTCCTTTCGAGTTTGGCAGCGAGCAGAAATAAAGACACGAGGAGAAAAATGGAGGAAGGCACCAAAGGTTTACAGATGTAAGGGCTGAACCTCAACTGACTTTCACATCAATGCCCAAGCTTACAAAATAAAGCAAGAAACTGTTCAGATACATCAAGCGTGGAAGAAACATTTTGTCCCTCCTTCCAGGATAAAGTTTATCTCTGCGTTTTAAAAGACCTCTCAATGTTTCCTGACCTAAAGTACTAATTGTATTTCCCCTAGATCACCCTGCAGTAGACCAACACACCTTAACCTCACTGCCAAGAAGCAATAAAGACAGCAGACACTACTCTTAAAACAGCAAAGAAAATGGTGTTTAAAATAAAAACCTCAAAACTTTCTACTCATCTCCAGACAGATGAGCGCAGGTGGCGGGCAATGCTTGGCACCTGTCTAAATCCAGTGAAAATGCCGGGAACTTACTTCACGATTTTAGTTCTTAAATTCTAAGTACTAATATCAAGTCCTGATAACAACTCGTGTGGAATTTCCATCGTGCACACGTACGAATGCTGTCGTTACACAGATTTTGCTACACAATTAATAATAAAACTTGTGACTCGGATGCTCTGCGCCTTCTCTAACAGCCCATGTAAAATAACACTTTCAGTTTTCCTGTGAGCCAGTTACATTATCTACCTGGAACCAGTTATTTATACACCATTCTAATGCAACAGTGCTTGCTTAAAATAAATGCGTGTGTGTATTATGTATTTATGTGTGTGGACAGCATATACGTATAGATACATTAAGTACAAAAATTGATTTTATAGGAAAGACAATTAAAAAGAAAATAAGGTTTCCTACAATTTTTATAAGTCTTGTTTTAGCACCTAGGACTTCTTGAGCCTAGCAAAGTTTGATTGTGTGGTTGTAGGACTTCCTACCATCATTTTTTCCTCTCCATCACCGGCTCTTGAGGACACAGCCCAGGGTCTTTCCCCTGTAAAATCTCCCTGGATCCCCAGCACAAACCCAACCCTGAGCACCAAACCGCTCGTTCTCTTCCAGATCTGGAACCCTGAGCACCTGAGCTGAAGCTCAAACCCTCAGCCTCTCCCAAAAATCAAAAAGGGAAAAAGATATGCACTCATCCATCACCATAAAGCTCCCCAGCACACACAGAGACAGGGAGATGAAAAATCTTGTCCCCACACCTTACCGTAACCGTTCAGTTACCGTTTGGTCTGGCTGCTCTGCCTCCTCGCCATCTTTCTGCCCGTCGCCTTCGGTCTCTTTGGTTACAGTCCCTTCACCATTCCCTCCTGCCGTATCCCACTCGCCGAGCCGGGCGTCTGCTCGCTCCTCTCTGGATGACGGCTCATCTTCCGACTCCTCGGCAGTGATCTAAGCAAACACGGGGAGAAATTGCAGGAAAATCCAGCACAGGGTGCCCCTTGCAATGGGCAGTGAATGGAGAGGGGGCAGCCACCCCCCACAGTCACTGCCCTTAAGTGGCCCCCTCAGTCTACGCCATCCCCAAAACAACTGTGTCCCCACCTGTCCCTCCCAGATATAGCCCCGTGGTTCCTCCCATTAGGACTCAACCCCACCACCACCTCAACTTGCCTATTAGAC